TGAATTCTACCTAAATGTAATGTCTTCACATGACTTTGAAATGTACCACATGTATTTTTGTGAGTTTGTGGTAATGTTGGAGTATAGATAGACATATGTGCTAATGTACAGTCACAATATGGTAGTTTTTTCGCTGTGGTGTCTCCAGTTGATCATTAAATTTATCTGGTACTATACACCTCAGTTGAAGACCCAAGGTTCCTGTGGTGGTTCCAATTATCATTGAACTTCCTGTGTCATTTGGCAAGAAGTTTACAATTTCCTCCATGTTGCTCTATATGAAATGTGATGGACCTTTCTTAAAATGTTTTGTAAGCTGGTCACCAGCTATAATAATTTAATGTTACTCTTTGCTTTACATATTCCAAAGATACAGAGTACACAATTCGCCTAATATTGAAAGCAACACTCTTGGATGTTGAAGATGTTTCATTAATTTGGTTTCATTTCCTCATGATATGTGATTTTTTTCTGAGGAAGCAATCAATGGCAACTTACTACGTTTCCTGTATATATAATTATCCATCTATGTACAAGTGTATCATAGCCAACCTTCATGTAATTGTAAGGTTAGAGGAGTGTTTTTACAGCTAGTTGGACTAATGCAACCATGGAATTGTGTTGTTATATACCTATACAGTAAGCTGGATTAGAACAATCACGGAATCATCATCTTATCCACTTATACAGCTAGCTGGATAAGAACAATCATAGCATTGTTACATTATCTACCTATGCAGCTAGCTGGATAAGAACAATCAAGGAATTGTGTTGTTATATACCTATACAGCTAGCTGGATAAGAATAATCATGGAATTATTATATTATCTACCTATGCAGCTAGCTGAATTAGAACAATCATGGAATCATCATTTTATCTACTTATACAGCTAGCTGGATAAGAACAATCATGGCATTGTTATATAATCTACCTATGCAGCTAGCTGGACTGGAACAATCACGGAATCATCATCTTATCTACTTTATACAGCTAGCTGGATTAGAACAATCATGGCATTGTTACATTATCTACCTATACAGCTAGCTGGATTAGAACAATCATGGCATTGTTACATTATCTACCTATACAGCTAGCTGGATTAGGACAATCATGGCATTGTTACATTGCCTACTTATACAGCTAGCTGGATTAGAACAATCATGGAACTGTTATTTTCTTATACAGCCATGAATGTATTTTTCAAATAATTTTTCAAACAGTAACGTACAACATAGAAGCAAATGTAGCAGGGAAGCAAAGTAGGTAGAGATTGAAAGACTCAATGACAATAGAAACAATAAAAAAACAACAATAATTTGAATTTAACAAATTTAATAAACAAAATATACAAATGCCTTATGGCTGCTATGATTTTTATGGGATCTACATACATTCTTTTCGAATAATGAACAGATAAAATTTACAGATAATTTTATTTGTTTTATGAAAGGAATTATGAAATGATGCCTTTTGGAATATAACAAGGTAACATCAAGAATATAAATGTTCTTCGGTGTTACTATTAAAATCTGCACGAAACTGATGTTGAAAATGTTAGCCTAGATATAATCCATAGAGTCACATGTGTATAAAAAATCCTCCTTGGTACCCTGTCCTCTTGTATTTCAATGATTGTCAGTTAAAGAGGTACCGAATGGGAAATTACCCATGATTCCTAAACAGTCGGTTTACGGTGAAGTGATAGTCCATGATACGTATTATAAGGATTTTTCCATGTTTGGCCTCACTTAGTTCAGATTTACACCAGGATCACGAAAATATACCATATGTAATTGTGGGGAAATTTCTAGTTCCCCACAATTACATATGGTATATTTTCGTGATCCTGGTGTAAATCTGAACAAAGTGAGGCCAAACATGGAAAAATCCTGAACGAACCCCATAACGTTGGTCCTAAGACTGCTGAGGGTTTCCCACAACGTAGGGTATGCTACCCCCCCCCCCCCCCCCCCCCCCCCCTCTCTCTCTCTCTCTCTCCTTCCTTTACTCTATATAAAATGTTTTTGAATCTATTTTGTTTTGTCTGGCTGTCTCATAGTGTGATGGTGTGTGACTTGTGTGAATGTTTGTGTAGAACTAGATTAATCTGTATTACTTGTAGTCTGGTACATTACTAATTAGGTGTTTGTGCAGGCATGCTGATGATGTGAGAACTTAAGATGATTCATTAATAAATACTACTATGATGATAAAGTCTCATTACTTATAATGTATGCAGGATGAGGATGATGATGATATGTGACAATGATGTTATTGTATACATGATGGTGGTGAGGACGGTGATTTGGATAGTATACATTATGATGATGATGATGATGATGATGATGATGATGATGATGATGATGATGATAATGATGAAAAGGGTGATAATGTACATTGCACGCATGATGAGGAGGAGGAGCGTGATGATGATGATGACGATGATGATGATGATGATGATGATGATGATGATGATGATGATGATGATGATGATGATGGTGGTGGTGGTGGTGATGTACATGGCATTGATGTTGATGAGGATGATGATGGTGTACATGGCATGGACGATGATGATGATGATGATGATGATGATGATGATGATGATGATGATGATGATGATGATGATGATAGAATGATGGATGATGATGATGATGATGATGATGATGATGATGATGATGATGATGATGGTAGAATGATGGATAATGATGATGATGATGATGATGATGATGATGATGATGACATCTGCTGTTATATGTGATGATAATGATGATGATGGTGATGATGATGATGATGATGATGATGTATCAGCTACTACTATTCTATAATATATATGAATGTGTGTGAAAGTTTTGTGTGGTGATGTGTTGTTGTTATATGTTTCTGTAATTTTAAAAAATCTGGAAAAATAAAAATATATATATATATATAAACGCTGGTGTACCACAAGGTTTCGTTGTCGGATCTTTATTTTTTTGAAGTTTGAATTAAGTTTTAATCAAAAGGTTGGTACCAGACCAAAATAAAGCCCTTAATTGGTTTATTTTATTTGATTTACTGTCGGCAGCACTCCTATTAAAATTACAAGCTGATGTTAACATTCAGATGTTATTTTTTCTGACGATTTTAAATGTTGAATATATAGTTAGAGGAATATCAAAATATAGTGCAATATATGACATATATATATATATATAGAAAAAACTTGATTTGACGAGATGCGAGTAAATTATAAATAAAAGATCTGAAGATCTAATACAGTGAAAGCGCTAGTGCAAAATGTAACGTCTTTCTTCTTTTGTCAAAAATCATTTATATATATATATATATATATATATATATATATATATATTCTTATATTCGTCCACTTCATGAATATACAGAGAAATGCGTATAAAGCTACCTAACAAAAGAATAATAAATTTCAAGAATTGTTCCAATATATCTGATCATAGAGACACGTTACATTAAAAATACAATAAAGCGATTCGGTGTTATCAAAATTATATTAGAAAATGAAAACGACCTGTACTCTCAACTTTGAAAAAAATGCTAATTTGATAACTACATGTAATTTCATTTGTTGTGACTTTTTTTCTGTTCACCAGAATGGATCCTAGACAACTTAATTGTATCTGTTGTATGTGGGTATGTTGGAGGATAAAAATCAACACAAAGATGGCGTATATTGTACAGAACGAGACTCATCACACTAGGGGATAAAGGACGTGGGAAATGGTTGATCATCGCCGAGGACTGTCCAACCCCGTGAGACTTCGATACACATGATTATGGCAGTTTTCTCCCTTCACATCATTTCTTGTTGATCGGAATCCCGCGTGCACGACTTCACGACCATTTACGTGACCTATACGAAACGTAATCAAGTTTGAAAACCAAATTGATAGACATGCGCTTCAAACTAGTATCCAGCTCGCTAGTGTTTCTACGCATGACCAGAAAACTGAAATGACACCTTTGAAACTGCACCTACCGAGCACAAGTTTAGCGGAGGCGATATTTAATGTACGTATGCTTCCTACAGTTCATGTTTGACACGGGTGGATGTCACAGATAGAAGTTTGTGTAAGCAATTGAAATATTTGATGTATGTAATTAAGGTATATATGGATATTGGCATTAGATACTCTTTTTTGAAATTGTTTTATAGTAAAGTCATAACGTATGTATAAGAAATATAAAAAAAATTTGGATTAAAACGAATACACAGATAAACAGAATTCGACGAAGAGCAACCGTTTCTGCATTATTTTAGTCTTATCAGAAAATTAACACCACTCTTACCTTTGTGAGTATTTTCACCGGTTATAAGACGTGTTATGAAAATCGTCGGCTGATTTTCATACATTGCAGCTGAAGAGAGGGAAAGTTACTTAGACTGATAAATTAGTGTTATTTCCCTTGGTTTAATTAATTTCGATAATGTATAAAACTTAATTAAAATGAAAATATATTTAAACTATTTTACCATTATTTCAGAGCTTTCTGATAATACTTCATTGGAAATGTTAATAAGGAGGGAATCGGTCTGCTGTTCTTTATTTATTTCCAAAATGAATTGAGTAGGTCTTACATCTTGCGATGTTTGTAATAATTAATAATGAGTCACTACATGGGAAAACGACGTTTCGGTACACATATATTATTAAAAGATATTTCGGTGTTTTAGAAAGATGTTTTGGTACTATAGAAAGTTTTTCCGATAATTGATATTTTGATGAACATCAGTTTCTGTGTTTGTTATTTTTTCCGACTTTTTCAGCTTTTTCACTTGGGACGATCCATTGACATTCCTGATTATCCCGCTATAATATGAACGATTTATTAATTATTATTATTTCTTTTTATCTATTTATTCACATTATTTATTTAATTATTCAATGGAAAACGAAGGGAAATAACTCCGGAAGATCAGAATTGTGGTTACTGGCGCCGGTTCACTAACTATAATCTGTTGTCAAACTTCCGGTTTATACAGCGAAATGAGCTGGACATCTTTCTACTGTCCTTGTTTTTGTTGTGGAAACAGGACCAATCGTTCCGGTCATGTGCAACTTAAAGAAATACCCACCGTGAAACTAGACATGACGAATATGGGTAAGAATTATGGCAATGATCAAACAAGTACAATGTAAATATTCTCACAGGTAGTTGTCGACGTGACAGCTCCCCCCCCCGTCCCCCCACCTAAATCCTGTAAATATCCTTGGCGCATTTGTTTCTGATCCATTAAGAACCATTTCACGCTAGCAACACTAAATTAACGGATTGCCACCAAATCAATACATTAATTAAATCAAATATGTTCATTTAAAAAAAAAATAACTGATCAGCGAAGTACCAGTGTTTTTTCTAAAAAAAGATATACACAGATCCGACCTCAAGTACGCTTTTATCTAATCACGCCTGAGCCCCGTTTCGATTCCTGGTCGGGCAATCGAATGGACATTTTCCTTGTTCGTTTACAGTTTATTCCATCCAATATCGAAAATGTATATCTCTGAAATGATGATTTACCATACACATTTACATTAATATAATTCTTATGGTTCCTAGCGTTTCGCTTTGTTAGACTCTTTGCTTCCTTCTATAAAGGTGTGCCTGCCAATGGTAAAACTGATATCCTCTTTGTAATTATATAACACGACCCAATTTTTTCAAAAGTGGTCTAGTCTATATTTGAAAGTGTAAGTGTTCTTAAACATGCCACCTTGTCAGATAATCTGTTTCATTGTTTTGAAAATCTCACTCTTGGTATTTCCACATAATTTGAGAGTTCTCTGCACTATTGTTGCTATGTTGTTTCTGATTTGGTTGTGATCAATGCCTGGGAACTATCTATATCTATCATTACTGCTGTGGAAAATAATCATACAAACATATATGTGTTTGCAGGGCTCTTGACCTGCCAGATTTGGGGCCAAATTCCCAATGCAAAATAGTATCTTTTTTTCCCAATTTAGACCCCAAGTTTTCCCAATTCTAAGGAAAACACCATTATTTTTCCCAATTCTTAGGTCCCAAAATGGGGTGTGAGAGCCCTGGTTTGTGTGAAATATATCAGAAAATGGTTTCCACACAAATACATATCAGATTATTAATGTGAATTAATGGAGATTTAAGTTACGATAAACAAGACATTGAATCTGATTTTATTTTTATATTTGTCGTCAGGAAATGATGTCGTGATCGTGAAAAGTGGAAAGCGAATATGTGGAACAGGATCTGCCTTATCAAATGCCCCAATTGCACAAGACAAGGCTTACTTTGAAATAAAACTACAAAGTACAGGTAGGTTACATTAAAATAAAGCCATAAAGTACAAATAGGTGTACATATAGATAAAACTTCATGTACAAATATAGTCTGTATGATGTTTTCAGGTGTATAGAGCAATACAATACAGTCTGTATGATGCTTTAATATGTATGTGATGTTGGCCGTACAAATACAGTCTGTATGATGTTTTCAGGTGTATGGGGTTTTGGCCGTACAAACACAATCTGTATGATGTTTTCAGGTGTATGTGATGTTGGCCGTACAAATACAGTCTGTATGATGTTTTCAGGTGTATGTGATGTTGGCTGTACAAACACAATCTGTATGATGTTTTCAGGTGTATGTGATGTTGGCTGTACAAATACAATCTGTATGATGTTTTCAGGTGTATGTGATGTTGGCCGTACAAACACAATCTGTATGATGTTTTCAGGTGTATGGGGTGTTGGCCGTACAAATACAGTCTGTATGATGTTTTCAGGTGTATGTGATGTTGGCCGTACAAATACAGTCTGTATGATGTTTTCAGGTGTATGGGGTGTTGGCTGTACAAATACAATCTGTATGATGTTTTCAGGTGTATGGGGTGTTGGCCTGGCTACCAAATTATGTAACATGTGCACAGTGCCACTTGGAAACAACAAAGAATCCTGGGTAGTTAGACATGATGGTGTTCTGTTCCACAACAACGAAGAGAAAGGCAAACTGCCTGAGGTGCCACAGGAAGGCGATATTCTGGTAGGTATATCCAGGTGTTACCAAAGGAAGTAGATATTCTTGTAGGTATATCCAGGTGTTACCACAGGAAGTAAATATTCTTGTAGGTATGTCCTGGTGTTACCATAGGAAGTAGATATTTTTGTAGGTATATCCTGGTGGTGCTACAGATAGATTTTCATCCTTTAAGCAGTGTTTTGATACAAATAACTGGATTCATTAGTAAATAAGATTTGTACAAATGCCACATAAAGAATGTTTTTTACTTTCTAAAATATATATGATATAAAATATAGAAATACAGTTAAAGATGTAGGTAAGGATGTTTGTTATGTAGTGTTCCTGTTGTTTTTTTTATCTGACCTTATCATGGGGTGATTTTCATTTTAGGGTCTTACATATGATCATGTGGAGCTGAATTTCTTCCTCAATGGTAAAGCCCTGAACAACCCACTGATGGGAATCAAAGGAACAGTGTTCCCAGTTTTCTACGGTAATTTGAAACCATTCTTATCTTTAATTTCTAACTTCTTACAGCACAGAACCTCTGCTTACAGCACAGTACCTTGTCATGATTATACATCCCACACTCTTCATGCAGCAAAGTGATGGAGTACTGAATTTTTTTGTTTTTTTTTTGTAGTTTTTACTATTTTTACCATTTTTTAGACCTAATCCATTCTACATTTATTTCACTTTAAAGTTTAGATTGACAAATGACAGATAACCAGACATCGGATTTGGCATTTTATATAATAATTCACAAATAAGTGGAGATACAAAGAATCTTTGTATCAAAGGATGGGGAAATTTTGTATCTCTGTATTGCAACTCTGTTGTCAATCTCAATTTCTTCCTCTGCAAGATTTCTCTTTATGTGCAGCATACACAGTGATATGAGAATATATTTTAGCTAAAACAGAGATTTAGTTAATAAGCTGTGAAAATTTCTTTCTCTGGTTTGAAAATATTTACTGTATTTATTTTTCATTTCAGTGGATGAAGGTGCTGTAATTGATGTTCAGTTTGATAGATTTTACCACCAGCCCCCAGACGGTTTTGACAGCATCATGATTGAACAGTCACTGTTATAGTGGTGAAGTGTCATACTCTTCTGTATGTTTGTATGTTCTGCCATGGACACCAGAGGGCAGTGTATTTATACAATGTACTGTATATTTGTATATCCTGTCGCGGACACAGGGGGAGTTGTATGTGTACAATTTTCTATATATTTGTATATCCCGCGTACAGCAGAGGGCAATATATGCACAAAAGCCTCTATATTTGTATATCTTGCCACAGATACTAGAGGGCAGTGCTTGTTCGCAATCCACTATGGGTGATATTTTCTGCTATAGACACCAGAGGGCAGCATATTTAATCAAACCACAGGTCAAATGAAGAGAAAGAACATTACTATATGGATATATGATAGACCATATGAAAAAGCAGATATTGCTGTTTTAATTTTAGCAAAATTTTAAGACAGAGGGAAACTCAAAGGGAGATATCAATGGTATATATGTTATGTAACCTGTCTTTAGAGGCCAGAGGGAATGTGGTCTACAGACAGAAATGTCACTGAAATAGATTTTATATAACCTGTCTATAGAGGCCAGAGGGAATGCGGTCTTCAGACAGAAAGGTTACTAAATAGATTTTATGTAACCTGTCTATAGAGACCAGAGGGAGTGAGGTCTACAGACAGAAATATCACTGAAATAGGTTTTTTATAACCTACCAATAGAGGTCAAAGGAAATATGGTCTTCAGACGAAATATCAGTGAAAAAGATTTTATGGGACCGGTCACTAGAAGCCAGAGGGTGTATGATCTTAATACAGAAATGCCAATGAAATAAATTTTATAGGACCTGTCTAGATGCCAGAGGGAAGATAGTCCTCAGTCTAGGATACAGATTTTAACTTAACTGTTTATAGTTATTATTTATCATCTTTTTGGCCAGTATGGTGAGGGGGTCTTATTGTGGGAGTTTACCAGAGACATTGAGTACCTGGGGAAAACCCATGTGGTCAGACAGGTGACCTCTGACCTTTTCATGTCTGATCAGGGAATCTAGCCCTAGTTGCCAAGGTGATTGGCAGATGCATTACCAATGAGATGTTAAAGTTAGTTAAAGGTACTTGTTTTGACCAAAGAAGTGTTTAAGAAATCTCTGTTGAACTTTTACAGATGAATGACTTATGATAGGCTCTAGTGATAGAGTTTTGTGATAATTAAGTGTGATGTGTTAAGGTGCGACCGTGGGTGAGGATAAAGTAAAGATATTACATGACTTCTATACATCACATCATCAAGTCATTTTTTTTATACATTTATATTAGTTTTTTGTGTAAGGATATCAGGATTTGTGAAACACAGGCCCTTAATCTGATTGAAAGCCCCAAAAACTCTAATCACAAGACAAGTCTTCAGCAACCTATGCTGATCACCTTTTATCTGTTGTCATGCATTGACCATCTGATTTATTGATATTTCAATTTTTTCATCTGAACCAGTTTTGATTAAATTAAAAGTCTGCTTATTACAGATAAAATTGTTTTTGAATTTTAAAAGAACCAAATAATCACGTTCAAAAATACTCAAAATACTTTAAAATTTATAGTAAAAAAGTACTAGAAAGGACCTTAAAAAATTTGTACATCTCTCAAATGGACTAATAACACAAAATTCAGATAGCAGGATTTTGTACAAAATAGATTATCACAAACAGTCTTGTTACCAGAATAACCAGTTCTGATCCTTGTTACAAGGAAAACACAGATTAGATTGCCACATTGTTAAAATATGTCAACGAAATGAGCACCTTGGAAAGTCACAAATTTTTCAATTGGTTATCTCCCTTAGACTGTTTTATCTCTGTTGGCTTTCTGATTCCTTATCAACTTAATGAGGGTTTGAGGTCAACACCGCATGCAGTCTCTGTCACGCTTCATTGTGATTAAATCTGTCGGATGTGAGTTATATTGTTTGCACCTTTTTAATGTTAAATCTCTGAAAATTATTTGTAAATCTCATAGGAAGCTGGAACTCTTTAAACTTAATTTTATATGTAGATGTGTCCACAGACTTAGATATAGATGTATCCTGAGTCCGTGATATGTCACTCTAGTGCAATATTTTAATTATTTTTATGTTTGTGGTAGTGTAATGTGATTTTATCATTATGGAAAGCAGAAATTTAAGTTGAAATTCCTTTCAACTGTTGATGAGAATTTGGAAATGGTTTTAAAATTCAAAATTAATACCAGTCAAGAGTCACAAAAATCAAATTTTTAAGTCCTTTTTTGTGTTTTTATTTTTTATTTTTCTTCTTGAAAAGTCAATTTATTTCGTCCACTTGCTCTTTTTGCCAGTATACAGACAGACCTCGTGAAGACTTTACAATATAAGGCCATTATGGTACCACTTACAAGCTTTAAAACATACTGCTACTTTGCGATTCAAATGCTTTCTATCCATTAACAGATCTTTCACCATCAGACTGGATTATTGTGTCTGAACACTTGAGTCCAGGTTCTGTTGAATCCGGCTGAAGTATGAAATTATATTCATTTTGTCTGGTTTCTTCACCATATTGACTTAGTTGCTCTGAAATGTACATTGTTTATAAAAAATATACTTATCTGTGAATCTTGTGAAACTGGTTGATGTGAAAATGTCATTTAATTGACAAATAAGACCAGTCTGAAATTTTTATGTTGTTAGTGCTGGAATTAGTCATTTTGATTTTGACTTGCAGACTGATCATTGAAAATTTTTATGTTGTTAGTGCTCATTTTATATGATCTGTATTTGTTTATCATTTCTATTTATGATTTAAATTTTTAGCAAACATCATACATATGTACTGACATAATCAAAACATTGAAGCTTATTATTGCAGTTTCTCCATTCAATTAGTTAAAAATCAGCTCTGTATCACAGTATCAGTGATAATTTTCATGATCTGTTATCTTCTTTATAGTTCAACATTATAAAGGAAAACTCTTGTTTGCATGAACAAAAACATCACCTGTTGATGTAGCTGTATAAGGTGGGATATTAAGGTTCATTGTACAGGAAATATATCTTATGTACTCTACTGATGGGTTTTTGAAAAAAATGGTATTGATTATACGAGGGTGACAGCTTTATAGGACAATTTTAATAACTACAATACTTTATCAATCATCCACAAACATGACAGTGTAAATCATTGTTGCAAATGATGACAAGGTTGTTATTAAAAAATGGTACTTTTGTTTTACTGTTTTTCTCTTTATGTTATACTTCAATATGAAAATTTTCTGGTTTAATCTGCTAATTATTCTCCTGGTAGAAGACCTATGGATGTACGTTTTAAGAAACAAGGACACGATTAATCGTTTCCTTCAAATTAAGAAAGATTTGAATTTAAATTTTTTGGAAAGTTAAAATGAAAAATGATTATCATCAAGAAAATACCAACGTGGCAATCTAATAATAATTTAAACTCAAATTCCATAAAACTACGGCAAATATGAACAAAAGAAAGATTTAAACGGAGAATCCTGAAAAAGGACAATGATAATAAGACCAGGTACTCCGGAAGAGTGAGCGTCTGCTGCTTCATCTACGACACCCTACATTAAACCTTGGTCAATCAAACTTAGAAATGTCACGTTCTCAAATAAGAACAATGTATAAAACTACGGAACCAACAGGCAAACTAACGTGAATTGAATAAGATTTACAAAAGACACACAAGTGAATAGCACCTTTTAATAAAATTTAGAGTTAGACACAGTAGAGCGAAACAATCAATTATGCCGCATTTTACAGCCGTTTCGTCCTTCTAGAACTCGTCAGTGATGCTAAGAGCCTAGTTTTGAAGCCTAGGAGGCGACTGAGGAAAATCCAAAGTGACCAAAAAGAAAGTCAAAATCTAGACGGGGAGGTGCACCAGCCCAATAATTAGATAAATTTCGTAATTTTCATTTAACAGATATTTTAAGAACAACTTCAAGTACACGTGTATATTCTGAAACCGTGCCACTATTCGAATGAATTGAAATGTGGCTTGCGAATAATTTAGACGATCTTGCAGTTGCATGAACGACATAAGTGTTGACACTATGGTGAGCGGTTGAACAAACTTTCGTGTGTCTATGATCCGTTTCTTATCTGAAGGGAAATCAACGGGCAGGCCGATAAGAAATGAAGTAACCCCAGCTAAGTACAGGTAGGACCAATACTATGTGCAATATCATCAGCGGCATTATTTGCTCTAGATCATCTGGCTTGTAAATATGAATTCTTCTCATATAGCAGACCAAATGAATTTCGGCGTCAAAGAGTTTCATTGGTTTGCATAGGTCGTCATATCGATGAACGTTTTGTACGGAAGTCACATTGAGTGAAATGCTTTCGTCGTAATGGCGATACGCAGTGTTGTTATGATGACGTCATAGCTATGTCGTAATTGCGAGGTCATTTAGTTATGATTATGACTATAAGACTCTTTCATATGCGTGTATGTAGGATACAGGCAGAGGCAGAGCCAGAGCCTCGGGTTTCACCATATTTTGTAACCCCTCGGGTGGAATATCCCTATCCTACATACACACATAATGAAAGAGTCTTTTTCTCTCATATCTTTACAAAAAGTTTGGGAAAAGGACTGTCGGTCGGCCATTATCTTCATTTTTTTTCATTTTTTTTATCCGAGGTTTTTATAAAAAACGAACTGGATATTCTTAACGATCATACCCATATTGTGCAAACTTAGTTTGCTGTCAAATTTCAAACCATTTTTCGGTATATTGCAAGATGAATATATTATTCGCAGATGAAAAAAACAAAAATGATCTCTGTGTGATTATATAGTATGTGTAAGTAAACATCCGCGAAAAGAAATTGTTCCGTCAAATACTTCAAAGAAATCAGCAAGGAACGGATTTTCATAATTCAACATATAGGTTTATCATCAACAATCACATATTTGACCATTTTAAGAAATATATCAATGTATCTTTTTACTGTTTTAACATTTGTTCAAAATATTGTGACGCTGACATGACCATGACCATGATTCGACGACGTTTGGGTGGTGGAACATTTGTGATCTTTACGGTGATTTGGCAATTTTCAATGTGAGAACCAGCAAACAAGGATTCGATGCGAGTTTCAGATTGTTTCTGTGATACAAGATTGTAGGTGTTAACTGTGTTTTCTTGTTGTGATGACGATGGTAGACACATTGTGACGTCAGATGTAGGCCTAGTAACTGTTGAAGTTGATGAAATGGTGGCAGAGGATGGTGTTCGGTTTGATGGAATTAATTCGGAGCTTTTTGTGTTTGACAACACATTGGAAATCATGTACCTTTGTCTGTCATTCAGTGTCCTGTAATTATTCAGCGACTGTGTGTTTTTATGACCCGTGACATAAACCTGCAACGTATCGGGTACATGGTTGTCGGTCATTTTTTGTACAAGGGATTTTCAGACGCTGTAAGAGTTGTCTCCCCTGACACAGATTACTCCGCGCACGTGTTTGCCCATGTTAGATAGAATTTTCTGACATAGCTATCTTACATCATGGGCAAACTCTATCCAATATGGCGGGATATGAGAGAAATACTTAGTCTTACTAAGGAAATCAGTATATTGCAATTACGACTTGAAATATTTATGTGCTAACCCGCTTCCGCATTTTTTTATGTAGGACAACGGGGAAATAGAAACTGTCGAAGACTCTTTATGCAGTCTAACAGGGCTTGGATTTGAACAAATTTATTCAATCATCAGTCTGTTATCATGTGGATTCGCCCATGTATTTCTGTGTAAATATCACTAGTGTAATATGCCCTATAGAGTGCATTTCATTGGCTGTGCCAGTCAGAAATCGATTGTGATGTCATAATGTGGCGTTGTGGAGAGAGAGAGAGAGAGAGAGAGAGCAAAACAAAAGTTTAATTTTATGATCCAATCAAAACGTAGCTTTTCAGCCTTTTGGGATGATAAATGATCCTAATTTTGCGCACATGTCATATAAGATTTAAATAATTTCGCTCATCAAAGCTTAAAAGAAAAAAAAACTAAATATTCGTTGCATAAATTTTGATGTGAAATGTTTTAAGATCCTGTACACAATAGTGACGTGACATTGTTGATAGACAGTCACGAAGTTTGTTTGTTGACACGAAAGAAAATGTGTTTTTTTCCCCTATCCGATTTCAGCTAATTATGACGGCCGACACACGAGATGACAGAATTCCCGTGGATAGGGGATGGGCATGGATTGTACTAGCCGGTAAGGTTTACATGTCACGCAATAAAACAGACAGTATATAGTCTTTCAAAGAATTATCACAGCAAAATATATTAACAAAAGTGGAAAATCTTATGTAACTCAGTCCTATATTTTTATTTTTATTTTCAACTCGGTGGGTATGTCGTGCTGTTAATTTCAATAAATTCAGAATGACCTATTGACAGTGTGTTTCAACGGTTGTCGTCCGCCGTGCTTCATTCGTTGTAAACTTTTCACACTCTAAACTTCTCACATGACCAAGTGTTGGGAATCCCGACATGGTTCTGACCTGGTGCCGCTATTTTTTGATGCGGTGTGAAATCAAATCTGGCCGCTATCTTGAAAACCATTTTCGAATTACTCCTGTTCAACTGGTTCTGTTTGGATGGGATGGTGGTGCCATTGAGCTGATAATTGGTAGGATGGTGGTGCCATTGAGCTGATAATTGGTGGGATGGTGGTGCTGATTATTGCGGGGAACGTTAAGGAAAAGAAGGATACAGAAGTTAATGAGGTTTCTCATGAAACATAACCACATCTTAGGCCATTTCGTTACATGATTGTGCAAACATAATTATCCTGAATAACAATGATTTTAAATGTCTTCTCAAGCTCTTAAGCGTACCAGCATCTGTATATTCATAAAAAAAGTTGATGGTATCACTGTTGTGGCTCTTTGATTTCGGAAAAAAACTGTTAGCGTTCATTTTCTGATTTAAGCATTAGCTTAGTATTTCAGCCTAGGTCACCCAATACCCGAAATAGATTATAATACCACGAGGAAATCGGTGTTAAGCTTATCTTTAGCTGTTGATGGGGACACCCTTGTCACACCGACAAATTCAGTTGACGAGTAAGATGTAAAACTGATTTTGTGTCTATACGCTAACACGTCGAGATGTTTATATCAAAACACAATATTATCTATATTGCGACAAATGGGTTGACAATCCTTTCGTGGAGAAACGTATTCTATGAGATGCACCAGAAGGTTCAGTTTAACATAAGTCCATTATTTTCAGGTTCGCTGATGATATCAACAATAAATGTAGGAACGGAGAAATCGTACGGAATCTTCTTCATTGAATTTCTTCGGACCTTCAAGGGCACTGTGTTCATGACTGTGATGATAAACACTATGTTGACTGTGGTTTACTGTGTAACAGGTACGCTTAAAACTAATCATGTTCTATAAAAATTAAGATAAACACCATGCCGACTCTGGTGTACTGAGTCAGGGGTACGCTTGATACTTGTCATGTTCTATAACAGTTGATATAAACGTTTATAGTGAAATAATTCAAGCAAGACACTATATACTCGTAATGGTTTATTAATAGTTATTCATAAACACACTTCACTTTTGTGTCCTTATAAAAATATTTTAATATCCAGCGTCATCACTATTACTGGTTGGCTTCACACGGCTGAGTATCAGGACGTTTGTGTTTGTGGGTATAACCCTCTCTGCCGTTGGTTACGGTATCAGCAGCTTTGCAACCGGACTGGAATTCCTGATAGCGTCACAAAGCATCCTCATAGGTAGGCTTGTGAGAGATAAATTCCAAATGTTCTGTAAACGACCAGCGCCATAAAACTACATACTGACAAAACGATATTTTCATCCATTTTTGAAAATAAATAATATTCTATTATGGAATCAAAGGCCCTCTATCTATATTTTAAGGTGTATTTTTGGGACAAATGTGGCTGCCCAAAGTTGCCTCAGGGATTTCAACTTTCTCAATGGTCTCCATGCAAATCTTATTCAAATTTTCCCATTGAGTGTGATCTAGGATTTGGTAGATAATTTTATTTACCCGAAGGTGTATATCTAATGGATTGTTACTTTTAACTTCAGGTATTCTTTCTAGTGTGTTTTGTACGTAAATACGTTGATTACCATGTAACCCTGATAAATACTCCACTAAATAGATAAATGTAACTGCAACATACGGCTCGGCTAGGGAGAAATTCTAGTTAGCCTGATCGGGTGAGTGTAAGGCTAACCAGCCAAAGCTCTCGCGTTTGATCCATTGCGGAGGCATTTAAACAAGCAGTGTTACACTGGCGCCCATGTGTTGAGGGAATAATATTTGGCGATCCTTTCAATATCGCTGTAATTCCTCGAAGTGCGAGGACGGGTGTTTTTCTGGAGGTGGAGTACTTTTACGCTGGTAAAATACTAGCTGCAATAAATAGCCCGGTTTGAGAGAACTTCTCTTTAGCTCGATCGATTGGGCGTAAGACTCGTAAGCCAGAGATACACTGTCTCGATTCAAAGAAAAGTACAGTCGAAACTCGTTATCTCGAAATTTAAGGGACTGTGAAAATATTTCGACTTATCCGAATTTCGACTCAAACCAAGTGTATAAATAAGGTTGACGATATCAGTTTCCTTATATTGAATACAGTTGTACAAAGCAGGGCTACGATAGCATGCAAGCAGCGTAATCTTATCTGTATTTTTTAAATGGCAGTAAATAAACAAATAAATTTAATTCTACTTTCTCCTTTTATTGTTTACTCATCCAAGCAACAAAAAATGTAATAACAACTCCAATCAAATGCATTTGTATTCACGTCGTTCCGTCCCGCGCACGTGTACAATACCCTTACCGACCAAACACATATACATAAAATTTACGGAACAATAAAACGAAATTAAAAATTGCTTTTGATACCCTTACAAAATAACGATGTATAAAGCAACAGATTATATCAATATGATTTACTAAGAATAAATAAACATATGAAAATCGCTGAGCTGGAAAGTCTCTACCTGTTAAAGAAAAATTGTACAAGCGCTAGTCTTAACAAATCACACACAGATATAGACTCTGTCCATGAAAAATATTTTCCGCCCTGCATTGTCCAAACACTAAACCTAAAAAAGTTCCGATCACTGTTCTTTAAACAAGCTTAAAATTAGTTTCTCTCTGAATTGTGGGGATCCGATTTCGTCAAAAAGTTTGTGCAGGTTTGATGGTGTCGTTTTTATCAATCCTGAATATGCACGCAACCAAGTTAAATGTTTTCATGTTTTGTGAAAACGCGCTGCATTTTAACGTACATGTAAGTCACTGCTATAGAATGGTGACACAAGAGAAGCCAAACTTTAATTAGATAATTAGACTAGTAATTTATCGCCAGAGACCATTTTTTGTTGTGTATACCATGCGCTGATATGCCGCAATTAGACGCGTTACGTAGAGGTGACTTTCTACTTTGTGTAGGTAAGGATTGATTTCGTCAAAAGACGTGCCGATGTTTTAGTAAAAATTACTTTCAAGACAAAGAGTGAGTTGTTGTTTACAATGAAGGGACTGAAAAATCGCTTCGACTCAACCGAAATTTCGACTCAATCAAGTTTGAGTCATCCGAACTAAAATTACAAAGATATAGAAGGAGAAAAATCGGGACTTGAAAATTATTTCGACTTAAACGGAATTTCGACTCAATCGATTTCGAGACAACGGGTTTCAATTGTATAGTATTATTCATAGCGTCAAATACATTATTTTATTTCAGGAGCTGGTAACGCATTGCATAATCCACCGATATTCATCCTTCTGGGAGAATATTTTGAGAAGAAAAAAGGTCTGGCGAATGGTGTATTTATAGCGGGGAATTCCCTCGGAGGAATCCTCATGCCGCCATTATATAGATATGTCTTTGACCAGTATGGACTCCGTGGTGGACTTATAATCACGGCTGGTATCACATTAAATTCTTTGGTGGCAGCAGCTTTGTTGCGTCCGACAGACTTCTACACTAAAAACGGTACAGAATTATTACATGGAAATGGTTATGTAGATAAGGACGCTATTAGTAATACAGACAATACACGGGCAACTAATGCAGAGATGTGCTTGGAAGACAGGACCGATTCTGATACCGCATGTCCATTCATTTCTACCGACAGAAGTCCCATCCATGACAAAGCACACAATGTGGATGTTATCGTGGATAAGATATCTCGTTCTAGCATCGTCAGATACCTAAGTACCGGCGATATTACGTCAATGTCTAGTCTGACAGAAAGTATAGATCGACATATCACCAACACGGAAGACGACCAATTCAGTACAGGGGGTCTATTATTTCGATGTAAGAGTAAAATCGATTGTTCATTGTTGAAAAATAGTCTATTTATTTTGTTTCTCGCCATTTATTGCTTTGGAAATGTAGCTATAATGTGTGCTCATATTTACATACCAACGTACGCCAGAGATATCGGGATCGAGGATCAAAGTATAGCAATCCTCGTCTCCATTACCAGTGTCACCGACTTCGTCGGACGCATCCTAGCGGGCTTCCTAGCAGATAAGCCGTCAATAAGTCCACATATGGTCGTCATAATCTCACAGGTGAGTCCTCGAAGAACCTAGAGAACCCACAGGTGAGTCTTAACAGAACCAAGGGAACGCACAGGTGAGTCCTCAAAGAACCACGGAAACGCACAGGTGAGTCCTCAAAGAACCCGGGGAACGCGCAGAGGAGTCTTCACAGAACCAAGAGAGCGCACAGGTGAGTCTTAACAGAACAAAGGGAGCGCACAGGTGAGTCATCACAGATCAAAGGGGAACGCAGAGGTGAGTCTTCACAAAACCTGGGAAGGGCACAGGTGAGACTTAACAGAACCAGGGGAGCGCAGTGGTGAGACTTAACAGAACCAGGGGAGCGCAGTGGTGAGTCTTCACAGAACCACGGGAGCGCAGTTGTGAGTCTTCACAGAACCAGGGGAGCGCACAGGTGAGACTTAACAGAACCAGGGGAGTGCACAGGTGAGACTTAACAAAACCAGGGGAGCGCACAGGTGAGACTTAACAGAATCAGGGGAGCGCACAGGTGAGTCTTCACTAATCTTAGCATCAGATAATGTCGACACTACTTTTCAGTATGTACATATTTTGTCGATAATGTATAGGGATTTGAATAGTTCCATTACTATCTATTTCATTCGTCAATCAAAGTACCCTTTTCCCCTTTAGGTTGTTGTTGGCACTGTCTTGCAGTTTACAGTATATTACACCTCGTTCTGGCGGCTGGTCATTTTTGTCGCCATATTTGGTTCTACGGCCGGTATGATAGCCGCCTTGTTCCCGCCAATGATGATCGAGATTGTGGGAATGAAGAGATACCGTAGCGCCATGGCCATTTTTATCATCTGTGTGTGTCTGTTTAATGGACTCGCTTTACCAATTCTAGGTAAGATGTAGGATATATACAAACTGATTGATAATTAAAAATAGATTATCTGACCTTGAGGGTCACTGTGAGGTATAGCCAGTGTTCCGTCCCCGTGTGAAGTCTTTTCACATTTTCAACTTCAGCTCAATTCCTTCCATTGAGATTTAGTTGAAACTTTCCCGTAATGATAGAAAAATAATCTTGGCCAGGTTTAGAAACTATAGAAAACATATTTTAAACTGCTGAAGTGTAACTCGTGCAATTGAGTCACAAATCGGCTATGGTGTAAAGGGATGGATGCCGACAATAAGTTATTTTTCAGTTTGATCAGGAGTTAGATATGGCAGTTACGGTGACTGTTTTTAATATGATTGCGTCATCACATGTTTTTCCCTGGGTAACAATAAATTCAAACTTCTAAAGTTCGAGCCGTTGGATTTACCTGAAATCCGGAATGATTCCGAGACGACCCTGATCAAGTGTTAATATTTTGAGGGTTCGTCTTTACTTCAAAATAATTGTCATGGCAGCTAATTGGAAATAAACAAATAAATTAATTAATAAATCCTGTTACATAATGGCCGTTGCGTTAATATTTCAGGATATCATTTTACAAGGGGTTGTTATTGTTGGACATCTTTGATAAATTAATCGTTTGATAGAATGACCGTTAAGGGCAAATGACCTCTGGTCCAATACTTGTGTCCGTACACTTGACATTTGTGCAGCATCAGTATCTTATATAACTTCACTTGTGTTGTGTTAACTACATTTGAAACATATCTATGTATTGATATGAGAGTTTATCCTCATTTAAAACTGGACATGACGTCATCCTGTCGGCACATCCATATCTGAAGTCTGTAGATTACATATATTTCAGGTTACTTCCGTGACATCACCGACACTTTCCACGTCACCTTCCATGTAATGGGAGCCTCGTCGTTCATAGCTATTGGTCTTCTGGTGATATTTCACGTCATCACAAAGAAAAAGGAACGCAAGAACGAAATGGACACGCAGAAAAACTAAAGATATAGACAGTTCAGTGTAAAACCTGTTACCTCATAAACTGTCAATTGGCAATATTTCAGCTACAGTAGCTAGTTTGTTTTTGATTTTTGGCAAGTAAAATTTCCCACATTTCTCAGTTCAGATCTGCTATGCTAAGATTTAAATACGTTGGAACATACCAATATCTTCCATCTTGAATCACTGAATCTTCCAATTCAGTGTAAAAACCTGTTACCTTATAAACTGTCCACTGGCAATCTTTCAGCTACAGTAGCTAGTTTGTTTTGTTTGTTTTTTTTTTTTGCAAGTGAAATTTCCTCACGTTTCTCAGATCGCATCTACTACTAAGTTTTAAATACATTGGAAAATAACAACATCCTCCATTGATGCATGGATAATTTTATATGAATCAATGCACAATGCAGTGATATCGACTGGAATAAAAAAACCAAATCTAAGCACATGGTGAATTGAATATGTACTCCTATTTATTATTTAGGTCGTTAGTGCATAGTTTTATGAAGAACTGAACATTGGCATTGTTTTTTGATACTTGATTTAAACGCTGGTGTCGATGGTTTACGAGAGACGAATTCTCATGATTAGTAGAAAGAAAAAGAAAAATAGATAAATAAAAACATACTCCTTTTAAAACGTTATCAAAATGAAATTTGAGTAAACATTACCCTTAGACAATAATTGAAAAAATCCTCAAAATGGCCTGAACTAGAAACTAAATTCAAGCTTAGGTAATGTATTGGGTTGATAAATTGGATTAATGATAATAAATATTTGTTTGGATTATCAAAGTTGGTCATTGCTGTAGAAAATGTCCCTTTTCCAACTGAAATGAACAAAGCAGCTTGTCTACACCCCTAACTATATTACTATATTCCAATGACTGAAAAATACCACTTTACATAATTAATGAAGCGAATCCGATCGAACTTGTTCGACTAAACAGGATACATGTCAATTAGGCAGCTATATCTAGCCTTCCCATAATTCTTTGCAATATTTACGATGAAATAGAATCCAAATCACCGTGTCACTAATCCGATATTTTGGCATACGTTTCCTTGATCTAGCCTCGTTTTCGATACACATACACAAGCTGGTCACTCGCTCGTCTAATACGGCCATGAAAACGAGAAACATGGAACAGAAATCAGGAAGCAAAGTTTTTTTATGTGAAAAAGTTGAAAGTGCGCCTATCTTTTCCCATACGGGCGGTAATTACCTTTAAAAATTAATATTTAAGCAAGATATAATTTCCGTCATGACCGACACGAGAACAGAATTTATAAACAAGGAACTCATTTAGAGGACCTGATCATTGCAAGGAAATCAAGCTTTATCCCGTCTGGAACATCTTCCTAATTTGAAGCAATATTCGCTCGAGTTTTCAAAGCTACTAATATTACATCATAGATTTCTTATCATTCAGTAACTCTGGAGACAGGAAGACTTTAATAACTATCATGCATATCCTGTGTTTGTTTTGTAAAACAGCACAAGAGAATACCAACCCGAAAGATAATCTTAATTCAAACCCAAAACCGATAACAAGAAATTTAAAACATACGAGATCAGTTAACACGGATTTCTTCGTAAAAGGACCACTGAAATAACACAGCAAGCGCTGAAACGGTAAGCATCTTCTGTTCAATCAATATTCGCCATGAAAATCCGAGTCGATCCAAATAATATCACGTTCTCAAAGAGGGAACAGGAATGATAACGAAAGAAACAGCTTTGTTAGCGAGTATTTTATTTATAGCCATGTAGCATTCGCAATTAAATCACAATGGCGACTATGAAACATTTTCAGTATGGTTTGAAGATTTCTAATAAGTTTTTGATACATTTCACTGAAATCGATCTATTTATAACTAAAACTCTCATATCAGTTAACTTTGCGTGAAAACACTATGTTAAAAAATATCGGAAAAATGTTACTATGTTGTGCAATATTCTTATATGGTATAGCAGGTGCTGATTGTCTAAAAACACAAATATCAACAAGACTCACAAATAGGGCAACACCTGTTTAATATGCTAAATACTTTTTAATGAAGATGCGTACAAATTAAGAACACGTGGTTAGAAACATTTATTTTGCTTGTTTATTTTTTGTTTTGGTTTTGTTTTTGTTGTCATTGTGTATTTTATTATTATTTTGTTTGTTTCTTATTTCTCTTGGTTTTGTTTATTTTTGTTTGCTGAATATAGGATCGAACATTCCAAATCCTTATATCAGCACTGATGTGAGTGGTAGAACATCCTCTGATAACGATTTACCACATTACATTACTTCTGTGATCACTAGTTTTAAACGTCGAGATGGACGTCGCCATATATCAACCATTCATCTCCAATATCGTAAAATCTCGTAATACACATTGTACAACTACATGTTAAACAAGATACATGTACACTCACAGCGACATTGTAGTATATATACAGTATAATATCATAGAGACACCTGCTCTTAAAGAAATTGAGTTATCATTCATATAACTTCGATCAAATTAGTCTGAGTTTTTTTTCAATCTGGCGAGGTGGAAAAGGATTTCATAAAATGGAAACAAAGGTAAGTTTCTGTTTATCACATCATGGGTGTTTTTGCAATCATGCGTGAAATCATCACTTTATACCAGACATTGATGTTCTAATACCAGATATTAATGATTCGTGAAATCATTACTTTATACCACTGTCACAATGTATAAATTTTTACATTGCAACTGCCTATCACGCTCTTTTGGTGACATCACAATGCATATTATGACGTCAAAATGGAGACAGTTGAACCTTTCAGCCAATCACAGCTCCGCTAGGTCATATAACACAAGTGTAATGATTCATCTGATGAGTGTTACTACACGGATAACAGGGAAGTAAAGTGATAAACAACATGTTAGTCTGGATATATCATTTACATCATTTGATAAAGAGAGATTTCTTAAACCATTAAAAAAAAAAAAATAAAAAAAAAAAAAAAACAAAACAAAAACAAAAAACAAAAATAAAAAATTAAAATAAAAAACAGCCTCCCCACAAAACAAAAAGATACCTTATGCACATCTTGTAAGAACAGCTATGAGCCATATTCCAACGGAAGTAGTAGAGTGGCGCAATTGTCCCAGTGTAAATTATTAAATGGATGTTTTATAAAGTTTTCACAAATACAAATATCATGTAAAATCTCATCTAGCTATATCAAAAGTATTCTCACATTTAAAGCACGTTTAGATAAAAGTTAGGGAGGTTAGCAAACATCACGCATTAACAATTAGCAAAGGTAGTGACAAAAGAGTATACTCTGGTGCAAAATTAATTGTCGTAAGATTTTAATTAGAAGTACAAACGTTGTGGTTGGTAACTTTCACCTAGAGATTATGTTATGTTAATGTTCAAATACCAGATATTGATGTTCATATACCAGATGTTAATGTTCAAATTCTAGATGTTAATGTTCAAAATTTTAATGTTCAAATTCTAGATGTTAATGTTCAAAATTTTAATGTTCAAATTCTAGATGTTAATGTTCAAATTCTAGATGTTAATGTTCAAAATTTTAATGTTCAAATTCTAGATGTTAATGTTCAAAATTTTAATGTTCAAATTCTAGATGTTAATGTTCAAATACCAGATGATAATGTTCAAATATCAAAACATTAACGGCCCCATCTATCGTTTCCTTGCAATGTTGCTATAATATATAATGTCATAACTTGTCATGTATTGCACGTGTATATGTAACATGTAAATATGTTAATTCATCGACAATGACAGATGGGTAAGGTGTAAAGTGTTCTCGTCGTAGTTACAAATACAACTCAATCTATATATAGACAAGTTACAAGTTACATTTTACGGAAGGGCCGGTCTCTGTGGAAAGTCATACAGTTACATTTTACGGAAGGGCCGGTCTCTGTGGAAAGTCATACAGTTACATTTTACGGGAGGCCGGTCTCTGTGGAAAGGTCACAGTGTTAGGTCGTTTGTTTCAAAATTGGGTTAGAATATGCAAGAAATCTTTTCTCTGTGGTCAGGTTACAACAGCTGTCGATTGAAATATCTGACTGTATGCTGCAGGACCCAACAGACAGAACACGGAGTCGGGCGATGTCGTTAAAATTCCTCGGTGTATTCAACAGGAAGGCCGGTCTCAATTGACTGGTTACAGGCCCGAATCAGTCGCATCGTCTCGATAGTGTGATCCTTTGTCACACTCAACTCCGCTTTTCCTGTTGGTGATAAATATATATAAATTGATTCTATCTTCAGAAAACGACCGGCAAATAGGTCAGTATTTAAAATAAAGGAAAATGAGCATAGTTTGCTTTGTTTTTTCTCCACAGTTTTACATGTGTGAAAGATTAAAGGGATAAAGGGGAAATCTGTTATGTACCAGGAGTTGATTTGATTGACAATTCACGAGTGAGAATTGTAAAAGGACTGTTTAAGTTAGGCTGGTGTTTCATTTGGCTACTCTTGGCTCATTTTGATAATCTTTATAGGATAAAGCCTTATTTGTAAAGTATAAAAGTAGTAATATTAACTTCAATTAAAGCTATCTCATCCCATGCAATAGTACAGTCAACAAGCATGTAGTTTAAACGGGAATATCTCAGAGTCCCGCCCTGATATGTACAAGGTGACAGATTTAAGGGAATATCTCTCATGTAAAGAAACTATTTCCGGTTGAGGACTTGAATAGTGATACCCAACAGTTAAGGGCCATAGTGTAGTTGTATCGTACAATTGTTCACCACTGACACACTACCTTGAAGGACGTCTAGAAAATGTTCGAGTTCGTTGCTGTAAGCTTGGCCATATCTGTTGGTGAAATGGTCATAGATGCGAGGTTCTGTGGTCTCTTGATGTCCAGCCTCGGTTACTTGGTCACTGTTACGATTTCCTACTGAAAGCAAACCTTCTTCACAAAGAACCTGAAATGCGGGTGCATTCAATGTGTTATGAACGCAAGTCGGAAATACACTATAACATATATCTATATGTGCGGCTATGACAAGTGAAAAATTTTAATCATGTACCATCTTGTGATTATGATATGAAACTTGTGATTTATACTAAAAAATATGCATAAATAATTCAACTCTTGCTATATATATTGTAAAACTATTTTTTAATTAGCATACCTGGTCCCAAGAACGAATCAACCTATGTGCCTTGGCGTAGCGTCCGCCGTCCGTCTGTCAACATTTTTTAAACCAATGCTACTCGTCCAGAACAACTGATTGAAATTTGGCTAGATTTGGTCACAAGCATCTTTGGGGGGAGGAGAACCATGTTAATCATATGGTGATGGTGGTAGACAGGGGAAGGAAGGGGACATATATGGCGATGATGGTGGTAAGGGGGATGGACGACAATTCTACTTGAATGGATGGGCCTCGAAACGGGGAATTAAATATACTCTTCAACATCTTTCGCATTCATTGGAAATACTCAAGACAACATTGGTAAGTATTTAAGCACCTATGATTTTATTAATTATCCTTGAATGTTATTACCTCAAGTCTTTGATCGTAGCCATAAGGTGCTAGTCTGCCATTGTCTATGAGGCTGAGGGTTCCATTCTCGTGTTTGATGGTGACGAGGACCTGGTCCATGTCAGGAATAGAAGCTAGTTCTGGTTTGAAGTTCATTCCTTGCACATATATTGTCTTTGGTTTAGAACCACCCAACCATAGCACATAACTTAAGTCATGGATGGTTGAATCTGCAATTATTCCACCTGAAATGAACATGACAACCTTCAGAAATTTGAATCTCAATTCAAGTAAGTAAGATGGTATCTAGGTTTTTGAAATAATACTTCTGTACGGCGTCATAGTCAGCAAAGCATGACCTGTATCAGCTAGAGACATCTTTTGGTTTGAATTGAGTTTATAGTACACTTTGCCGTTTATTTGAAAGTTAAAGTTGGTTTTATAATCTCAGCTTTTGGATTCTCAAATGTTAGACCCCTAGCATCACGGAATATTCATAGATGAATGAAACACGATGTTTGATTCCCTGTTTTTTGAAAAAGTCTGTGTCTAAAGCTGTATCAAAGTGTTCTATAACTTTTGTAGTCTTTATAGTGAACACATGCGCTGGCCTCGATTAAAAATATATTTGATAATTTTTTTATTGGTTAAGAGCATCAATCGTGTTATATTTTATTTTATGTGTATTTGCTACTTTCTCTGAGAACTGCTAGACTTTTGTTTTTGTGTATTTTAATAAATCCGGATTTTTGTGACAGTTACTGGCTCTTGAAATTACTCTTGTCCAATATGGCGGTTGTATTTACCTGACGTTTTTAGGTAAGAGAGAGGCGGTAGACATAGGTCACGACTTGTCACCTTGATCAATCGAACTCGTCCCAATTTCCCAGATTTTATTCTGTCGTACACGGTTCTGAAGCTGGGGTCGAATTGCCTTTAAAATATAAGAGTATTCTTCCCGGTAATGTTTTCTGGTATTTGGGTAAATTTTATGTATAACCCCAGAATCCGAAGCTGACATTGTCTCGCCGCCACATTGGCTTTCTACATCAGCTAAAACAAATCTGACACGAGTGTACATATACTACACTTCACTTACCACATCTTCCAACAGCCATCTGAAAACGAGTTATTCGAAAGCTGCAAACCGCAAGATGATTGGTTTGGTTATAGATAATAGGGAATGTCCGCAACCTTTTCAGGTGACTATGCATACCTAAAAAGTACGAATGAATTGGAATATTATGGGAATGTATGTAAAACTTTTGTGTCAAAGATATTCACAGGTATAGCGTCAAAATAGACTCTCAGAATGACCTGAGATCGGGGCAATGCGAGTCTGCATTCTTTTCCATTCATTTCATGAAAAGTGAAAATAATATTGTTATTTGAAAACAGCGTATGATTTCTTAATAAAGAAAATTTTGTATGCAAATTACGAAATAATCTATGTGAATATATTTTACCTGTGAAATGCGCAGAAAAGAGGAAGTTTTTTTGCCTCCGCGAGCTCGTAGCATTTCCTGGTGGATTCTTCAGTAATGGTGACCGGTTTTTCACAAAAAACTGCTTTGTCTACAACCCGGATATAGATATCAGAAATATAGTAAACAATGGGAGAACATGTCAACACGTGATACTAGGGCGAACCAAGGGACAGATAAGCACTAAAGTCATCAGGGAAAACAGAACCAGGTATGACATTACCTGCATTGAGTGAGTCGTGAATTATCTGGTCGTGTGTCGTTGATGGGGAACAGATAAGCGTGGCATGAACTCTGTAAAAAGATAAACATTCTGTTTTATCGTAAAAATGATTTTATAAAAATTTAATGGGAACTGGCCAACAAACTGAACTTTCTCTGTAGGGAATTTGTAAAGAAGTAATCTTATATTTTTCATTCAGCTTATTTTGAGTACTGATGATTCCATAAATTGGCAGCTTGGACCCCTTTTATAAGATATTTAAGTTCAAAGATTACATAAAAAATTAGGTTTTTATAAGTTTTTCCTTTCCTGTTTAAAAGCATCAAAGTAAGAAATTGACAACATATCCGCTAAATATGAAATCTTTGGTATCGAAACCTGATGACGAGAATGCCAATTTGATGAGATAACCTGCGAAATACGAAAATTTTTGAAATGATGTCGCTTACTCGGGGTCTGCATAAACCTCGGCCACTTTGTCAGGAGTAGTGCATCGTGCGTTGAGATTCAGATCTTGCGCAAACTTCTGGGCATCTTCCAGGCGATTTCGGATGATCCATTTCACAGAGGCTCTTGGTGACAAAATGGCGTTCTTGGCATGGACTAATCCTAAGACATTCAAAGGAGAAAAGATCATTCACACGAACCACTTTTACTGTCAATTTACATCAAGGAAGCAATGTCGATATATTTGGTCCTACCTTGAAATTTGTGGTAAGTGATATGCAATGTTTTCACCCCAAACAATATTAAGCTAAATTCAGTATCGCTTTGCCTCGTTTTTCGTCCATTACAACTGTACTCAGAATGCATGTTTTCGAGAATTATTGATAACATAAATATATTAACGCCTGCGTGCATCGAACTGATGTGGAAACCAAATAAATTATTAACTTCATCTAGGAATCAAATCGGATGATTTTTGAAATTAAGAATTTTGTTAGTTTAATGGAATGAGACCTGGACAAAATACGTTATGGGGACGATGTACAACACAGGGTAGTCAATCCTTGTTTATAATTCAGACTGTAAGAGGGAGTTAGTCAGTCTGTTTGTAGTAGACTGTGACTTACAAGGGAGATAGTCAGTCTCTGTTGATAGCACAGACTGAAGGAGGGAGTTAGTCAGTCTGTTTGTAGTAGACTGTGACTTACAAGGGAGGTAATTAGTCTTTGTTTATAATTCAGACTGTAGGAAGGAGTTAGTCAGTCTGTGTGAAGTAGACTGTGACTTACAAGGGAGATAGTCAGTCTCTGTTGATAGCACAGATTGAAGGAGGGAGTTAGTCAGTCTGTTTGTAGTGGACTGTGACTTACAAGGGAGGTAATTAGTCTTTGTTTATAATTTAGACTGTAAGAGGGAGTTAGTCAGTCTGTTTGTAGTAGACTGAATTACAAGGGAGGTAATCAGTCTTTGTTTATAATTCAGACTGTAGGAAGGAGTTAGTCAGTCTGTGTGAAGTAGACTGTGACTTACAAGGGAGATAGTCAGTCTCTGTTGATAGCACAGACTGAAGGAGTTAGTTAGTCAGTCTGTTTGTAGTAGACTGTGCCTTACAAGGGAGGTAATTAGTCTTTGTTTATAATTTAGACTGTAAGAGGGAGTTAGTCAGTCTGTTTGTAGTAGACTGAATTACAAGGGAGGTGATCAGTCTTTGTTTATAATTCAGACTGTAGGAAGGAGTTAGTCAGTCTGTGTGAAGTAGACTGTGACTTACAAGGGAGATAGTCAGTCTCTGTTGATAGTACAGACTGAAGGAGTTAGTTAGTCAGTCTGTTTGTAGTAGACTGACAAGGGAGGTAATCAGTCTCTGTTGATAGTACAGACTGAAGGAGTTAGTTAGTCAGTCTGTTTGTAGTAGACTGACAAGGGAGATAGTCAGTCTCTGTTGATAGTACAGACTGTAGGAGGGAGTTAGTCAGTCTGTTTGTAGTAGACTGACAAGGGAGATAGTCAGTCTCTGTTGATAGTACAGACTGAAGGAGTTAGTTAGTCAGTCTGTTTGTAGTAGACTGACAAGGGAGGTAATCAGTCGCTGTTGATAGTACAGACTGTAGGAGGGACTTAATCAATCTCCATTGGTGACGGAGACTTTTGTTTGTGAGTAAGAAAGCAGATAGAAAGTCGACATTTATGGCGGATGTTTTTTGTCTGATGTTTAGAAGGAAATTAGCAGTCATCTCTATTAATGGTGATGATTTTTATCTGTGGTATTGAAGAGAGTTTGCAAATCTTCGTTTCAGTGTTGTTTTTTTCTGGGAGAGGAGTTAGCAAGTCGTTTAATAATGCAGCGTGTGGTTACTATGGGAGTTAGCCAATCTCCTTTGGTGATGAAAATTTCTTGTCTGGGGTTTGGTATATTCATGTACTTACCCATATTCCCCAAGCCGAAAAAAGCCAGTCCTATCCTAGAAGCCATCTTGATTAAGATAGGAGTCTGTTGCTCTTAACAGAAATTAACAGGTATTAAGTGTACGGTTGCGACAGGATGGCTGGAAAATATAAGTCTTAGCACTATTTTAGCATTGAAACTGTGTCAGTGACGCAAATCTATATCTCATATTCATATCTCTAGTATTCCGTTATCTAAAACAATGCTTTGTTAGTGACTGTTATACCACTGTCTGTACCTGTGTCAGTGACTGTTATACCACTGTCTGTATCTGTGTCAGTGACTGTTATACTACTGTCTGTACCTGTGCCAGTGACGTGAAGTTATACCACTGTCTGTACCTGTGTCTGTGACGTGAAGTTATACTACTGTCTGTACCTATGTCAGTGACTGTTATACTACTGTCTGTACCTGTGTCAGTGACGTTAAGTTATACCACTGTCTGTATCTGTGTCAGTGACTGTTATACTACTGTCTGTACCTGTGTCAGTGACGTGAAGTTATACCACTGTCTGTACCTGTGTCAGTGACGTTGAGTTATACCACTGTCTGTACCTGTGTCTGTGACGTGAAGTTATATTACTGTCTGTACCTGTGTCAGTGACTGTTATACTACTGTCTGTACCTGTGTCAGTGACGTAAAGTTATACTACTGTCTGTACCTGTGTCAGTGACGTTAAGTTATACTACTGTCTGTACCTGTGTCAGTGACGTTAAGTTATACCACTGTCTGTACCTGTGTCAGTGACGTTAAGTTATACTACTGTCTGTACCTGTGTCAGTGACTGTTATACTACTGTCTGTACCTGTGTCAGTGACGTGAAGTTATACCACTGTCTGTACCTGTGTCACTGACGTTAAGTTATACCACTGTCTGTACCTGTGTCTGTGACGTGAAGTTATACTTCTGTCTGTACCTGTGTCAGTGACGTTAAGTTATACCACTGTCTGTACCTGTGTCAGTGACGTAAAGTTATACTACTGTCTGTATCTGTGTCAGTGACTGTTATACTACTGTCTGTACTTGTGTCAGTGACGTACAGTTATACTACTGTCTGTACCTGTGTCAGTGACTGTTATACTACTGTCTGTATCTGTGTCATTGACGTTAAGTTCTACCACTGTCTGTACCTGTGTCAGTGACGTGAAATTATACCACTGTCTGTACTTGTGTCAGTGACTGTTATATCACTGTCTGTACTTGTGTCAGTGACGTACAGTTATACTACTGTCTGTACCTGTGTCAGTGACTGTCTGTACTTGTTTCAGTGACGTAAAGTTATACTACTGTCTGTACCTGTGTCAGTGACGTGAAGTTATACTACTGTCTGTACCTGTGTCAGTGACTGTTATACTACTGTCTGTACCTGTGTCAGTGACGTGAAGTTATACTACTGTCTGTACCTGTGTCAGTGACGTGAAGTTATACTACTGTCTGTACCTGTGTCAGTGACGTGAAGTTATACTACTGTCTGTACCTGTGTCAGTGACGTGAAGTTATACTACTGTCTGTACCTGTGTCAGTGACGTGAAGTTATACTACTGTCTGTACCTGTGTCAGTGACTGTTATACTACTGTCTGTACCTGTGTCAGTGACTGTTATACCACTGTCTGTACCTGTGTCAGTGACGTGAAGTTATACTACTGTCTGTACCTGTGTCAGTGACGTAAAGTTATACTACTGTCTGTACCTGTGTCAGTGACGTTAAGTTATACTACTGTCTGTAATTGAGTCAGCGACGTTAAGTTATACTACTGTCTATACCTGTGTCAGTGACGTAAAGTTATACTACTGTCTGTACCTGTGTCAGTGACTGTTATACTACTGTCTGTACCTGTGTCAGTGACGTGAAGTTATACTACTGTCTGTACCTGTGTCAGTGACTGTTATACTACTGTCTGTACCTGTGTCAGTGACGTAAAGTTATACCACTGTCTGTACCTGAGTCAGCGACGTTAAGTTATACTACTGTCTATACCTGTGTCAGTGACGTAAAGTTATACTACTGTCTGTACCTGTGTCAGTGACTGTTATACCACTGTCTGTATCTGTGTCAGTGACGTAAAGTTATACTACTGTCTGTACCTGTGTCAGTGACTGTTATACTACTGTCTGTACCTGTGTCAGTGACGTAAAGTTATACTACTGTCTGTTCCTGTGTCAGTGACGTAAAGTTATACTACTGTCTGTACCTGTGTCAGTGACTGTTATACTACTGTCTGTACCTGTGTCACTGACGTAAAGTTATACTACTGTCTGTAAGTTATACTACTACTGTCTGTACCTGTGTCAGTGACGTAAAGTTATACTACTGTCTGTACCTGTGTCAGTGACGTAAAGTTATACTACTGTCTGTACCTGTGTCAGTGACTGTTATACTACTGTCGGTACCTGTGTCAGTGACGTAAAGTTATACTACTGTCTGTACCTGTGTCAGTGACGTAAAGTTATACTACTGTCTGTAATTGAGTCAGTGACTGTTATACTACTGTCTGTACCTGTGTCAGTGACGTAAAGTTATACTACTGTCTGTTCCTGTGTCAGTGACGTAAAGTTATACTACTGTCTGTACCTGTGTCAGTGACGTAAACTGTCTGTACCTGTGTCAGTGACGTAAAGTTATACTACTGTCTGTACCTGTGTCAGTGACTGTTATACTACTGTCTGTACCTGTGTCAGTGACTGTTATAATACTGTCTGTACCTGTGTCACTGACGTAAAGTTATACTACTGTCTGTACCTGTGTCAGTGACGCAAAGTTATACTACTGTCTGTACCTGTGTCAGTGACGCAAAGTTATACTACTTGTCTGTACCTGTGCCTGAATAAGATATAAGAAGCCCGCCTAATGCTATTCAAGGATTTTAAAAAAATATATTGACGAAGAACACGACCAATTAGCCCAGAGTGATCTGTTTGTCAGCTTTTTGAGAAACACGGATAGCATTTTGGAAAAAAGCTGATGAGTTCTTTTTAGTCATAATAAAATATGAAAATCATGACCTGGTCTGTCAGATATGGGCTGTCACCACGGGCCAGCAACGAGGACGATAATATCGCTAGGTTATATAAATAGACACAATTCTACCCACTCACTGCCTGTCTCACGATTATATAATCTCTTTCTACTTCCTTGTCACATTTTCATTATATATTGTATTAAACTTTCACCGTATTCAGTTACTTATCCAAATCAAGTCCATCAGGCCCATTTATGCAATAAGTCAAAAGTCTAAACATCACGAAATCGAAGCTCACCTGATCGTAGCTCTTGCCAGGTAAGATGTCGCGAAGAAGGTTATCTTCAAAGAAAAGGACAAAACTAGGTCAAGCCTCGATCGAGAGGTAGGTGACAACTACCGTGTTTAAGGTGTCTGGGGACGTCAACTTACCTTCGATAGATTTTTTCCTAACATTATAGCCACATACGATATTAAAAAGGAAGAAAAGAAAATTGAAAATATGTTTACGGTTATAACTTTCAAAACAGTAAATTGTACGGTAATATTTTTATTTTATATCTTGTTTTATTTCTGGAAAGATATTTATATACAAAAACTTAAATTTCTCTTCAAATGGACAGAAATTACTACGTGGTTCTCCAAAACCTGAGCTGTCTTTTCAATAAATAATTGACCATATATAAACATATTTTCTTACAGTGTATAAATACGTTGTGTTTGAAAAAAAGAATAAAAAATAAGTATTGAAATTTTCATGGGTAATGTTCATGATAAAACTGATTTATTATGGTTTCAGGGAAATAGTAACGAATTCAAATATGTACAAGACTTCTGTCATTCTTTTTTCTCCTTTTTTTATGTAAAAAGGGGAGGGGTGTGAATTGAGTTAAAATGTTGTGTGAAAGATTCTAACATGAAAATGCTGGTAAAAAGACCAATACAGTTTTCCAAGCAGTAAATTAATTTGTGTCTCCCTGCTTGAATAAACAGTTACACGCATTCAGCTAATTTGCATATGCTTCAGTCCAACCGATACCGTACGTTCTCCGTCGTAATGCTAATTTCCTTGGTCCCTGTGTCATGTTATGGTGATGAACTCCCCACTTCCGCTTTGACACATCAGTCGAACCAGATCAGCCACGTTTAATCAATACACTAAGAGGCGATCAAACCTGTGTAAGAGAGTTTTCTTTAAAAACAAAAAAACATCGGTTACGCCCTTTCCATTACCACGCGAATGCGTTACTGATAAAAAGAATTTCCAATTTTATTTATGTTTTCTGCGTATCTTCAACGAAAAGTTGCAGCTGTCAAATTTTAATATAAACCTGTCCCAACGAGCTTGTATATATATATTTGATGTTTTTAAGATTTTCGTTTTATTTTAAGACAGTAGCTAAAATATATAAATTTATGTTGCAGCTTGTCACATATATTTTTGCTGTATTCGGCAGTGACAGAAAACAGCTGTATTTAATTAAGCACGTGCAGTAATTCGACAGAATTCCTTTCTGGGTTTGTTTTAAAATTACGTTTAATGGTAAAAATAACTGTTGAAATAAGTGATTTTTATGTTATAATGAATAAGTTTATTTACAAAAAAATCATAAATCGCTGTCATATCCGTTAATGTTTGAAAAAGAAAACGTCGCAGATTGGGTATACAAAATGGGATGCAAAAACTGCGACGCATCACATATCTGAGTAACAGACAGGAAATTCCGGGGAAAACAACCATTTCAGACGGTTGGTTAAGGAAGCCATCTAGATACGCCGCAACAGGCCAGTTATTGATAGGGACGAGAGGGGCCATATACTGTCGCACATCTATGACCAAGTGTTAAACAAAGCGTAGCCGAATTGGCTACAGTACATATTTGCCATCTGGTGTAATTTTTTGGTCAATAATCTGTTTACGATCTCGTCCCACTGTTTTCGACCTTAGTGTACATAGGATTATAGTGCAGTCGAAAAAGTTGGTCTATTCCGTACCATCTTGTACACTACATATGTCAGTGCTAGTACACTCCACACTAGTCATTTGTCTGATGAAGTTGACCGT